AACCGGCTCAGGCGGTGAAAGCCCCGAGCTGGAGGCGGCGGGAGGGGCGGCGGGGACCCGGGAGGGGCCGGAGAAGGCGAGGCGGTGAGCGCGGGCTGCCCTGGGGAAGGGCGGAGACACCACCCGGCCCTCAGCCCAGGGGAGCTGAGCTGTGCCTGGACGCGAGGTCGGACCTGCAGCCTTGGGGGGGTTCTTCAAAAAGAGATGAGACGGAGGGAAGCGGGAGATGCCGCAGAGAGTGGCTGCTTTGGGCCCCCCTGCCTACCCTGACCTCTCCCCTCCTTAACCCAGTAGGAATCTGCCCTGGGATCCACCTCCAGGCCCCACCCAGCTGCCCCCCACACGCTCCCGAAGTGAGGAGGGAGTCAGAGGGGTGGGCACAGAGCGACTTCAAAACCAAGGGAGGTGAAGCCAGGGGGACAGGCGACACATCCGAGGCCCCTCTGACCAGCCCCTCCCTTCACCACTTGTGGAGCCAACATTCCCTGGGCCCCTGGGAGACTCCAGCACTGCGCTGGGGAGGCCGCTGCAAAGTGGATGTAATCCTGGTCCTCAAGGAAGACCACTGAGGGACGTAGACCTGGACACAGGAGTCTCCAGTTGCCTGCTGATTTGGGGAGTTAAGGGGGGCTTCCTGAAGGCAGTGGCATCCCAGCTGCATTCTGATGGCTGAGCTGGGGTTAGCCAGGTGAAGGTAAAGTCAACACAGACGTGGTTCAGGCCCAGGGAGCAGCATGTGCCCCAGACCACACCTGGTGAGTTGAGCTCCACTCCAGCACAATCACAAGGGCTGCCTGGAGGCAGCCAGGTTGGCATTTTAACCAGCAGGGAGAAGTGGGGAAGGGGGCAGAGGAGGGGCAGCAGTGAGGCCCGAGAGGAAGGGCCGGATTCTAGAGCCGCCTGGAGGGAAGGATCTGCAGGGCTGGGTGGCAGATGGATTGGGGATTGGACTGGAAATGCTTGGGGAGAAGCCTGAGAAAGGACGAGCAAGGATGAAAACAGGTTTCTGGCTGGGAGTCTGGGCTTTTGGGAAAAGATGAAGTTTAAGGAGACTGTTTCCAAGAGAAAGAGAATGTTTCCAGGAGGGAGCGTTCAGCGGGGCCAAAGCTGTGGAGAGGTCAAGTTAGCTAAGGGCTGAACAGTGTTCACTGAATTCAGCAACAGGGAGGCGGCTGGTGGCCTTGGGGAGAGCCCAGTGATAGGACAGAAACCAGAGGGGCGTGGATTGACTCCTGAGAAGGAGGTAACGTAGGGAGTGTAGACAGCACTCTCAAGAAGGGGAGAGGGGCGGATGCAGAGTTGCAGGGGGGGTTTGTTTTGTATAAGATGGAGAGGCTCGAGTGTCTCCAGGAGCAGTGAGAGGGGTTGATGAGCACTGACCAGGAGGGGGGAGTTTTCCTGGGAGCCTGGGGGGCCAGGGATGTGGGTGCACAGAGGGCCGTGCTGCTCAGCTCATGATTTTCTTTTCACTTAGCAGACTTAGCAGTTTGTGCACAAACTTGGAGGAGGCGGAAAGCTGGACTGATGCAGGGTTGAAGCTTTGCTGGACAATCAATTAAGTTGCAAGACAAACTAAGCTGCAAGAGAGTAACTGAAGTAAGGTG